TGTGGCCCGAGCTCGTATTCAAAACACGAGTATCGTTTCCCTTTTTAGTGGGCGGCCATTGTGCCGGCATAATTCCGCGGCAACCGCCCGCGACGAAGAATTTTTACGATCGCGACCCTCTCCTTCTCTCTTTCTCTCTCGGTCATCAGTCGCCCGCCTCCCCTTCGCCCTCCTCTCGCTCCTCTCACCCGCGATTTCATTAGACGCGAATTCCGACGCGGCATCACAAGCGAGATTTTAGCATTTCATAGTCGATAAAACGTTTGATCGACCGGGCGCCTGGAGCCAATCGCGACGTGCGCGGATTTACAGGTGCTCTCGCGATGAATGCGCCTCGTAAACGAGGTCGAAATATTTGTAAAGGTCGGCGGGTGCGGCGCGTGCGATTATTCCGACGTGCCCTCGCGGAATGAATCCCGTGGCCGTCCTGTCTCGTAAAGCTGTACAATCGCTCGCACGATGCCGGACTGCCGCTCTCTCGCTCAAGTAGAAGTCGAGGGTTCAACGCGCGGACGAGAGATCAAGTGTTATCGTTGTGTCGTTGTGCGTGAACCCAGCCGAGAGACAGATTTAGACACTGAAGCCACTTAACAGTCGAAATGTCCGCTTGGCTTATTTCTTATCACTCGAATTTGCAATGCCGCATTTTATTTACTTGTGTGTCTTCAATTGACGTCGAATGAAACTACAAAAAATGCGAATTATTTCGTTTAGCTACATCAGCACAAATATCGTAGCGTCTTTGCACGAAACGAAAAAATTTGGCGGAAAAAAGCGTCGCTCCGCCCCGCGCGATATTAATCGTTAAAGTTGACGACTTGACAGGTTGGGAAACCTGTCATATCGGTGAAATGTAAACTTTCGCTCGTGCCGTCTCTGGCTTTTGTCCGGCCCGGCGGATCGAGTCGATGCAGCGGTCTTAGGCGCGATAAGGGGCCCCGGGTCGCGGGTAAAGTTTGAAAAACGCCCGCGTCGGTCTCTCCGATAACATTGTTCCGATAACCTTCTCTTTCCCGGCAGATCAAATCGGCCGACGTGTCACCGGGCAAAGTTTCGGGTCGCGCGCGCGGAGATACTTCCTCCGCCAGCTTCCGCGAGAAAACGCGCGCGGAAGAACTCGGGCGGCAACGAGCCGAAGAGCGGGGAAAGAAAACAAAGTAACGAGGCGATCGGAATCAGCGAATCGATAGCGCGCCACAGCTATTTCGTAACCGCGAGTCTGCTCTCGCGAGAGATCGATCGATGTTGTGGATAAAAATCTACCTCGGCTCGGCGAGGAAACGGGAGGATTCAACGCGACCGTGAGAGCGACACGG